TTTAAGCGTGGATAACAACTTTTTCTTATTGATACGATAAAGATAGTGAACAAAAATATATTGTACAATGTAATCATTGTGATGAATTACAATAATTGCATAGATAGAAAGGGGCAAGGGAAAGTCATTTTGATTTTATTTTTTACAAATGACTTGTCAATGGCTGCCTGTGGCTCTATTTCAGCATGAAGTAAGTTATTGTTTGTATGGTTAGAGGAAAGTTAACAATTACAAAGATTGGCTCTCCTCCGAACTTCTACCCCCGCATCATGGCGGTATGAAATATCCGTTCAGGGCTCAGTTCTATTAAAAATATGCCGGCTCCGTATAATTAAACAAAGGCTCTAACTGGGTCTCAGTGATATGTTACTTGCGGATCTGTTTCTTATTGTTTCTGATTACCTGACAATTCTAATAGACTTGCGGACCTGTTTCTGTGACTATGCCTCACTGCCGGCCGTGTCCCCCACGCCGCTACGCGAGGCGCGGATAGGGGCTACATTAGATGGCTGGGACTCATGAGCAGCAGCTACCGCATCTCCTGCAACTTCCTCCAATTACTTTGCTCGTGAGTCCCAGGCACCTAGTTTAGCCCCCCCCATCCGCGCTGCGCGGGGGATACGCTCGGCGGTGAGTTTAATCGCGTTTTGCGCATGCCGACAAGTCTGACATCTACCGCTGCTAAATCCTCAATCAGAAGAACAGTATTGTTAACCCTTTTAGCAGGGGAAGTTTTTCAGAGGTCTAGCCAAAAACACGGAGCATTTTTTCAGTGAATTTGGTTATCTTTATTTAATTTTTTTGACAGATTTCTGTTATTATGACCCCTATGAAATAATATATCTATATGAAGGATATAGATTGAAGTTCGTGATTTTCACAATATCTTTAAAATTAATTGATGTATATGCAAATTGTCTCATTTGCATATCTAAAAATAGAAAATATGAATTTGAATTTTCAACTTCAATGCTTGAAACATAAAACTAAAAACAAATTTTTTTAATTTGAAATCTTTTTATTGATCTTTGGCCTTTTTACAAATGTTGTAAGCAATTCAAAAGTCAAAAACAGGTATATATATGTGAAGCAGCAATAATATCTTTAGGTGACATGTGTTTTTCACCATCAGTCAGCACTAGAAATGGATGTGCCGGAGTGTCAACACCTTCGGGTGGATATACCCTGAGCCATGGTTGGGCTGTGGTCTGAACACAACAGCGTCCCCATCTGATTCCCACTATTACTACTAACACTAAATCCTGCATCAGTATCAACAGAATTAGTGTCATCACTTGATTCAAATGTTTTATCAACATCAAGTTTAGGGGCAGAAACATACGAGTCAGACATACTTTTAGCGGTTCAGGTCACTATCTAAAAAATTCAACAATTTTCACTTCGATACCAAACACTCGAAAGTCGCCATGTGTAAAGCTGATACCGCAGTTAATATAAATGAATCACTTTCAGTGTTTCAAAGTAGGAGATTTCTTAGCTTTTCGAGGCGAAACACGATCGGGCCGATCATCGGCCGTTCCGTGTTTTTGGCCAGACATCCGCCGGCCGATAATCGGCCTGTCCGTGCTAAGAGGGTTAATGTGCGTCTGAGTGCGTGGTCTACCCGCCATGTCGCTTTCATCGTCTGTAATGTCTCGAAATTGTAAACGATAACCAGCTTTTATCGTCTGCTAGTATCGTCTGCAGAAACGCTGGACATTGTCACCGGTCGCTTTTATCGTCTGCTACTATCGTCTGCAATGTTGCGACTCTTGAAATTGTCAAGTAATCCTAGTTTTGCCGCGATTTGTTCCTTGGCAGAAAGTCTGAATTTTTTATTGGGCTGAGCCCAGAACTGATATTTCAGGCCGCCATAATGCGGGGGTAGACGTTCGGAGGAGAGCCCGAAGATTGCTTTTTCTAACTTATCTTTGCCGTCTGTCTGAACTTACTTAAGGAAACACTCAAACAGGAAAGGAATCCTCTTAGTCTTAGTAAGCCAAACATCATTTCATATGTCATAAATATTTTTTATTCATTATTTATATTGTTTTGCTCCATGGAGGTGGTTTCTGATTCTGTATAAATGATAAATCATAGGTGAAAAGTAGATTAGTCATTAGGGCTATCTTCCGAATAACCGTCCAAAATTATTGAGGCAGAAAATATACCCTAACAGAGCCTCAGTCACGTGTCAATTGCGGACTTCCGGGGACTATACCGCCACTGCTGAATTGCAGACTTCGGGGGACTGTACCGCCACCACCGACAGTATCTCCCACGCTGCTATGCGCGGCATGGATTGGGGCTAAACTAGATGACTGGGACTCACAAGCAAATAAAATGAAGGCAGCTGCAGGAGATGCGGTAGCTGCTGCTCGTGAGTCCTAGTTATCTAGTTTAGCCCCAATCCACGCCGTGAAGTGCGCAATGTAAGTCGCCAGAAGTGCGCAATTGAAACGTGACTGAGGCCCTGTTAGGGTATATTCTCTGCCTCGATAATTTGGGACGGTTATTCGGAAGATAGCCGTAAAGTTTATACTAGAGACAGCATTGAGGATATAGATGATATATTTTAAGGGAATACAAGAAAATGAAGATTAGCCATTAAACTTCAAGACATAAGAAAAGTTAAACATATAGCGAGTAAATCAGCTAAAGTATAATGGGGAAGTGATGGTCAGCTGTACAAGAAAAAAAAAAAGCATTATTAATGACAGGATTAGTGTTTAAGCCAGACACCCTGGGTCAACTGACACCACATACAAAACTAAACACTTGTACAGTAACTTGACTATTATTATTATTTTTTGTTGGCTATCCCACTAACGGTCCCAAATTATGGAGGCTGAAAATATACCCTAACAAGGCCTCAGTGACATGTAAATTGCAGACCTCTTCTGGCAACTATACTGCCACTGTCGAGAGTATCTCGTGGAGTGGGGCTAAACTAGATGTCTATGACTCACGAGCAAATAAAATAGAGGGAAATGAGGTAGCTGCTGCTTGTGAGTCCCAGCCATCTAGTTAAGCCCTGCTCTGCGGCGCGGGAGATACTCTTGGCAGTGACTTTGACTCGGCGGAAGCTTTTTCGCGGTATGCTGTGTAGTCGCCGGAAGAGATCCTCAATTTACATGTGACAGGGTATATTATCGGCCTCCATAATTTAGGGCCTTTATTCATATAATAGCCTGATGCTGTCGGTCAATCACTTCTTAGCTTTTAAAATGGTTCATGGAGTCTCTGTCTTAGTCTCTTAGGGCACAAAAGTAAGGCTGTGCCATGAGCTCTAGCTGCATTACTTAATATGTCAGCTGTCATTTGACAGAAAGTAACACTTCATGGAAAGCTTAATGAAGGCAGATAAGTGCTTAAAAGGGGCAGCTCATTTTCTGTAGGCATAGGGGAGGCAAGAGGGTGCCAGGCTCAGGGGAGGTAAGAAGTCTATCCTCCAAATAACGGTCCCAAATTATGGAGGCCGAAAAATACCCTAACAGGGCCTCAGTCACGTGTAAATTGCAGACCTCTTCCGGCGACTATACCGCCACCGCCGAGAGTATCTCACGGAGTAGTGCTAAACTAGATGGCTGGGACTCAATGAGCAAATAAAATTAAGGAAGCCATCTAGTTTAGCCCCGTGCTGCACGTAGCAGTGCAGGAGAAACTCGACAGTGACTTTAACTCGGCGGAATCTTTTCCGCAGTATGCTGTGTAGTCGCCAGAAAGAGGTCCGCAATTTACATGTGACTGAGGCCCTGCTAGGGTATATTTTCTGCCTTGATAATTTGGGAACATTTAGGCTTAAGTTATGATTTTTTTTTATTTAACAAAAATGAAATTGGGGAAATAAATCAACAATTTTCATTACTGCACTTGGGACATTCCCACATGTGCTTAGTCTCCTTCTTCAATAGTAAATGAAAGAGTTGACATGCTAATAGTACCAGCTTCAACCTGATTAAAGGTCTGCATGTTTTCCCCCTCAGTGTTGAATATCTTCTACAATCTCTACACACCCCTGGTTGAATTCATCTTCCAATGTACGGATTCCATATCTGTTCTATTGCACTGTCAATTTGATCACATAGAGCAGATATTCAGTTTAATCATTATTGTCCTTGGCAAAAGTGCCATGTTTTGTGGATTTTTTTTATATTTTTCCTTTCTAGGGAGTTCTTAGTCATTATCTAGTGCCTTGTCCACTGATGTAGGTGATTATACCTCTTCATAATCCGCAATCTTTGACAACATGTATCAGTCCGTGTGTTGACACCCTTCGTGCTGTGACCAGAGGGTTGTGAAGAAGCTTCTGGGGTTGTCTTCCTCTGTCTCTTTCTGAAGATCTTTCCAGTGATCACAGCGTGTTCCAGTTTGTCTCATAACCTGACCCCAAAAAAGGGTCTCTTTCAGATGTTTGTGACAAGTTGTGTTCAAACCCTCACCTCTTTTGAAACATCTGGGTTACTCTTTTTAGCTGTGCAACAAATTCTTAGAATTCATTTGTAAAACCACATGTCAGAGGCCTCAAGAAATTAGCTTGTTTATTAATAGTCCAGAATTCATCAGAATGATATCTTCATATATTGTTCTTGGTCTACCTCTTGCTCTGCGTCCTTCTTTTCGTATATATCTTGTGTGATATAGCATCAGAAGGCATTCTTCCCAAGTGAACAAACCATTTGATTTGCTGTCCGTTTATATCTCATTGTATTTGTTGCAGCAGTAGTAAATCTTGCTCGGGGTGGCCCAGATTAGCCTTCATGGCTACCGTAGCGGTCCCGTGGCACAAGGCCACACTATACTTGTACTTATGACATTGGCAATATTAGAGCACTCACTTTTCAGTGAGCTATAATTTTCCACATTGATTATAGTTTTTAGCTTTGTATGTGTGCAAACATGTGTTCATCTGCACATGACTGAGCATCATGTCGCTTATGTTGTTTGATGTATCTTGATTATAGCTGATTCTCATGGTGAGCATTATGTTTGACAGGTATATGAGTCAGAAGGCAGAAAAACCAACACTATCAGGCACCCGTCTGAAGACCCGGAAAAGGGGTAAGTTAAGTCCCATAACAATATTTAACTATTTACATAGATTAAAAAAAAACAACAGGAGCTGTTACTTTTTTGCCATCCTTCGTAAAATAAAAGGACTGCCTTTAACCTAGCATACTTGACAGAATGGCTTCAGAAACTTTTAATGTGCATTAACTTGCTTGCTGTTGAGAATATCGATAAATGCAATTTTTTTTTATTTTCAGTAGAAGCTGTCAGAATTAGGATGGGGAGTCCCATATTTTGTAAACATAAGAATAATATGGGCAGTACTAGACTTCCGTGGTGAGATGTACCGTGTACAGGTTTTCCTTAACTTATGGCCAAGTTCCTTTCTATCTAACCGGTCATAAGTCAAATTTGTCATAAGTTGAAAATTAATTTTTCCACACCGTTTTCATTGAAATGGGTTATTAACATTGTACATAAAACAAAAAATTGAATCTTTGTATATGTGCTCTAGCACACACATTCTGGGAAGCGAACTTTTTGACCCTACCAGTGTAATCTTTCTTTATTTGCTATTTTTATTTATTGATATTTTGTGGTTGCAATTTAATAAGGTATAAAAAGTGACATTTGTGTATTTGAGGATTAATTTTTCTGCATAATTGTATGTTATTTTGCACTGCACCTGATTAGATACAGTGAAATATGCCAGGCAGTAGATTGTGCAGTGTATTGTCTATTGAAACACAAAAAAGACAGAGGAAGACAGCGTAAGATGATTCTTGATAGCTTTTTATCCTGACCGTTATGTGGCAGCTGATAAAGTTGTCGCAGAGCAAAATCGGCATCACAGTCAAGTATAATATATTACAAATCACTGGTGTTGTCTATTTTCTTATACGGGTGTGAGAGTTGGACTCTCACTGTGGAAATGGAAAAGAGGATTCAGGCTTTCGAATGTAAATGCTACAGACTCATTTTCCAAATTAGTTATTTAGAACACAAAACTAATAAATATGTCAGAGATAACATTTACAAATTTCCGGGTCATCTGGAACTTCTATTGGCAGTGGTGAAACGTGGCAAGCTAGCTTGGTTTGGGCACTTGGTGAGACATGATTTGATTGCAAAGACTGTACTTCAGGGAACATTGGGGGGTAGTCAGAGAAGAACCTGGAATGACACCATCAAGAAATGGACAGGACTAAGTTATCATACACTTATTCATCAGGCTGAAGACTGAGAAAGTTGGCAGGTTTTATGTGCTAGTGCTTCCATCAATACACCTCCACAACCCTAATGGGTCAACGGTTATGTTATGTTTGTGTTGACATGGAGGGGTGTCAGCACATAATCTGATACATACTGTTTAAGATCGCAGATTTTGGGGAGCCATAATCGACAAGCACTTGTTTGTATCCTCATTATTGAATTTGTTTCTTTATCACAGATGAGAAGGAGAAAAACGACCCAACCGCTTTTAGAGATTCCATCATCGCAGGCCTGAGTGAATGCGGGGGAGACTTAGAACAGGTGTCTCGTTTTCTTGACAAGGAAGGATCCAAGCTTGACTACAGGAGATATGCTGAGGTCCTCTTTGATATCTTGTTTGCTGGAGGCATTCTTGGTAGGTGGTATCTTGATTAGCATTTCTGCTTATTTAATATTTCCAGATAGTGCCAATGGTTACATGTTATTTATGAAGAGTGGGCCTGAGAATGTGGTGACAGCTGGCAGAATTGATGGAATGAGAGAAAGAAAAAAATATATCAATACCGGGATGGCTTGGCCATATGGGTGGGGTAAGGCATGAGCACTAGCCTGATCTTTGATTTCGGTGATTATTTGAGGCGAGGAAACATGACCGCCTGCTTTTTTCAGCTCGGGCACATGGTGCTGATGCTGAGCAGATAGCAGATACTTCTGTTGGGGTTTGAAGTAAAAGGCCTTCAGACATACTAGAGTAAAGCATATGAGGTATAGGGTCACCAGTTCTCTTCCAGAAGGCTCACTTTGCAGGTTCCACTACCCCCATTTCATTCTGGGGAAAACAGTAGTTAGTGTTCTTGGCCAAATAATGGATATTGTTATATGTATGGATGATTGCAGTTATTAAAGCATCTTTTCATCTTCTGGTATTCGGGCTTAACAGGGCTGTTGACATATTGTGTTGTGGTTTACAGCTTGGCTGCATTATCTTGCACCTTTCTACCTCATACACCTCTGATTTCAGGAAACACATTTTACAAATTTCTTATTCTTAGGCAGTGGACCTGTTCCACCCACAATGCCCTCATATGAGACCCTAGAATCTGCACAGGAACATGAAAGCAGTAATAAGGATGTCAATAACAATGGGGGTGATATGTTATAAAATAATAAATGCAATGTGTTTTATCCATTCAGCTCCTGGTGGATTTATAGTGGAAGGGACAGAGTTTGGCAAGCCCGTCCGGTCAGATATTTGTGTGTTCAGGTGGGGAGATGGATTGGAGCAGCTACGCAACTTCTACACTGTAAGTAATGCTTTTCATTGTTCACTGTCTCCATGGCGTATGCTGTATCCCGTCACTTTCGCATTGTATAATTTTCAACATCTGCGCTGTATTACTTTCACATGCAGTGCACAATTACAGCTCTGCAACTTCTCCATTAAATCGCTTTGTTTTGTTTGTTTTCTTACATTAGCCCTATTTTCTTACATTAACCCTGTTTTCTTACATTAGCCCTGTTTTCTTACATTAGCCCTATTTTCTTACATTAGCCCTATTTTCTTACATTAACCCTGTTTTCTTACATTAGACCTATTTTCTTACATTAACCCTGTTTTCTCACATTAACCCTATTGCACCGAGAAACCTAAATCTAGTCTCTTGTGGCATATACATCCCCATACGTCTGCAATGACCTGTTCTCGTAAAGCCTAGTGGAATTCCATCAGTCCTATGTTCTCCTTGGGATGTTTTATTGGCCAGGATATGAATATAGTAACTAACATATTTCTGAGGCGTTTTTCTTTATGACCCCAGTGGCTCTTGAGAGTCAGATTGTCAAATTTTCCTGTAAGCTCAAGGGATAGATGGCGAAGGGGTCACGACATGCATGGGCCGATATGTACTTTTTTAGAGCTTTACTTTGTTCTCTCTCTCTCTTTCTCTCTCTCTCTCTCTTTCTCTCTCTCTCTCTCTTTCTCTCTCTCTCTCTCTTTCTCTCTCTCTCTCTCTCTCTCTCTCTCTCTCTCACACCCACACACACACACACACCAGGGTTCGTAGTGGATCGGGAAATTACCGGGATTTTTTCCGTTGACCTTGAACCGTGATTTTTAGCTTATAAAAGACATTCCGACCTTGAAAAACCGTGAATTTTGACCACGGCAATGAAATCGTCAGAAATCCTGTGATTTTCAGCACAGGCAATTTTGGGGGAGCCATTTGGCTTTTTTGGCCATTTAGCTAGTTTTTGGCTACTTTCGTTGTATGGTCGTTTCAGGTGTGAGGGCAGCTGATTATTGGCTATTTTCAGCCGAAATGGCTTGTTAAAGGCCAGGGGAGGGCGGGCTGTGTTGCAGATCATGAATACATGCAGACAGCAGTGGTGTGGCATGGGGCGGGAAGTAGCAAATTCAGTCTCGTGTGTGTGTGTGTGTGTGCCTTTGTTTCTAGGGAGTGAACAGTATAAATCGTTTATGGCCGTGGTTTCTAGAAAGGATTACATTGGGAGATGGTGGTGCTCGGTTCAGTTGTATTTATAAATAGAGTCGCCGTGGTGGGGGCTAAGCACGGCCTTCTCTATTAATTAGAGATGGCATTGGGGCTAAGCAAAGTGACTGCAGCTGGATTTCCCAGTTCTATTTTTGGCCTGGATTTATCTTTACAGTGTGTTTGACGATCAATATTGTAATTCCCCGAGATTCCCTCTTCTGTTGTCTCACCCCTCTCTCTCTCTCTTCCCTCCCTCTTTCACTCTTCTACCTATTGCTCCTTCCTTCCCGTCTCCTGCATTGTCTCTAACCCTCCCTTCTGATCTTCATCTTCTTCTCTTTCTCTTTCTCTTTCCTTTTACTCTCTCATTTCCTGTCCCCCCTCCCCCTTTTTCCTATTTTATTTCTTGTTTAAATGTTTAGTATAGTAGTTTAGTAAATGTGCGGCTCCATAACTCTTCCTAGCAACTCAAGTACACAGGAATTTGTATTGGGGGGGGGGGGGGGGGGCATTCTGTGTGAACATGGTGGATATTTTCTTTTTAAGTGTTTGTTTTCCTAGCGGCCTTAATCTCTGTCCATCTCCCTTCCCGCCCCCTCACATTTTGTCCTACCTGTTCCTCACTCTCTGCCTGTCTGTGTCACTGCTTTCCCCTCTCTCTTTCTCTTTGTATTTGCCACTCTCCCTCACTCCCTACCCCCCCCCCTCTCTCTCTCTCTCTCTCTCTTTCTCCATACCTTCAGTTGGTGTAGGTTATGTGTTGCCTAGTGCAGAACATTTCATGTCCACCATTCCCCCCTCCCACACATAAAATATATGTTTACTTTTAAAAACACATTTGCCGTCACCCCCCCCCCCCCCCCCCCCCTTTTTTTCCTCCTCCCACATTGATGACACCTAGGGGAGGGAGTGCACCCCTTCCTGCTACCTTCTTCCCTCTATATCTCATCTTATTTCTTACTCTCTTCTTTCTCTCCCTGTCTCATTCCCACTTTATTCTCCCACCTCCTCTGTCTCACCCTTACCACCTCAGCCTTCTACACCACTTTCCACCACCTCCTCTCTCCCCCCTCCTTTCTGTAATTGGAAAACCAGAAATGAAACGAAGTCCACTGCTGCCCTGACCTATTTATGTGTCTGACCTATTTATGTGTGTGGTTAAACTTCTCTATTTTCCACCAGTGGTGGGTTGGGATCCCCTGGACTTTTTTCTTCTTCATAAAATGACCTTGGCTCTCAGGTCACCAGCCTTAAGTGTAAGAAATTGAATTATTGTTGTCACACACAGATAGGACAAGCAAGGGGCAGTAGGGGTTAGCACCGTTGTTTTTGGACCACGGCCACATTCACATTGGGAGAGGGTAGGAACCGGAAAAGTGGCCTCACTTAGAGATTTCCTAATTCTATTTTTGGCACTCATTGTTCTTCCACCCCCACCCCCACAACTGTGTCTTACCTTTCTTCTCTCACCCCTTCTCTTTCCTTTGATCTTCTACTATTCTCCTTTCTCTCTCCATTCTTCCTCTCTTCCTTTCCTTGCCCTTTCTCCTGTCCCATCTCTTCTTTGTCTCCTCTCCATCCTGTCTTTTCATTTTCTCTAGATTTCCTTACTGGCTCCCCTCTCTCATTCTCCCCCCCCCCCCCCCCCCCCCCCCCCCCCCCCCATTTTTTTTACTGGTTCATCTACGTATTTTTTTGCCCTGTAACTATCTTTTCCCAGTGGTTGTGTCCACTACACTTGAAATTGTGAGGGGGGGGGGGGGAGTAGGTGGCTGTTTTTTTTTTCTTTGATGTATCTTGTCTCCCTTCCTGCCCTGCCCCTCTCTTAATCTGTGTTTGTCACTGCCTTCCTTACCCACCTCTCTCTCTCTCTCTCTCTCTCTCTCTCTCTCTCTCTCTCTCTCTCTCTCTCTCTCTCTCTCTCTCTCTCTCTCTCTCTTGCTTTATGTCTGTTTGCCTCCCTTCATCACTTCCTCTTTGTATACCTCCCTCCCATTCTCCTGCTCTGCCTTTTTTCTCTTTCTTTGGTTCTCTCCCTCTGTCTGCTTGCCTCTCTGTGCTGTCCCTTTGTCTCTCTCTCTCCTTTATGTCTACATCTCTCTCTGCTTGCATCTGCTTCTCACCCTGTCCGTTCTCTCTCCCTCTGTCTTCCTTCTTTCAACTCTTTGTCATATTTTCCTCCTTCCATATCTCTGTTTCGTTCCCTTTTTCCTTCTCTTTTCATCTGCCCATCTCTGTGTCTGCATTCCCTCTTTCTGTATTTGTCTCCCTCTCTGTCTTACGCTGGCCCTTCCCCACTTTTCCTCATCATGTCTCCATCCCTCCCTCTCATTTTTTCCTCCTTCCCCAGACTTCTTTTCCTTCTTTTCTCTACCTTCATCTGTCCATCTTTACACTGTCTCTCCCAGCCTACCTCAGCATGTGTCTTCCTCTCTCTTCATGACTCTCTCTCTCTCCCCTAACCCTCTCAGGTACCAAGTCCAGAACAGACAGGACTTCAGTTTGCTGCCCTCTACCACCAAGCCCTAAAAAAAAAAATTCAAACACTATATCAAGCTCAGGGGCCGACCAACACGAAGATGGGCACAGGATATAAGTGACTCCTTGAGTATAAAAAAGTACATGAGGCGGGAGAGCTGGTGAGAGACCGAGTTTTTTTTTGTCAGGTCAAAGGAAATGCTACATGATGATGATATATGTGCTGGTATACCAACAAATGTGGCACAAATGAAGTACCTTGTGGGCTCAGTACACCCTTGAACAAGGCAAAAATCTTGTTTCAGTATTACACCGAGACAACCTTGAAAAAAACTAAGGAGACCTTGAAAAAGACCTTGAAAAGCCTTGAAATTGATTGGTAAATTTGGCTATGAACCCTGACACACACACGCGTAGATAAATAAATAAATTTAAACAAAAACATTTATTAGTGACCTGTGCAATACAGTTTTTTAAAAGGTAGTTTCCAGAAATTCCTGTGGGTTCATGGCCAAATTTTTTTGTTTGTTTAGTATTCACTGCACGCATTAGTTAAGAAGGCTTTGTTTTAGTACATTTCACAGTCTCTCATGAATGTGTAGCTTCCATGCTGTTAGCAAAATTGTATAGTTAGTTCTGCTTATTTATTTGTTACTGCTTGGGCTGCAGAGCTGTTGGCTTATTTCACTAATGTCCAGTAACTTCTTTCCCTGCCATACAAATGTTGATTTGTTGAGTGGCTGTTGTAACATTTTCCTGATCTGATAAAGTGAATTCACATTTCTTTTTATTTATTTATTATAGAGAAGCAGGTGGCAAAGTAGTTAGATCTCTGGGCTGAATAAAACCCAGGTTCTTATCATCTGTATGTTGATAGACAGTTTATCGTTTTTCTTAAAATGGGAAGGAGGGGCGGCAGTTCTAACTTGCACTTGCACTGTTCCTGACGACTGTCCTAGCCATGCACCCATCATGGTCATACTCGAGACCCCCATACACACACACACTGCCATGAAAAGGGTACTAAAAGCAGTTAATGCAGTTTTATTTTTGTGTTTAGAATATACACAGTAAAAAAAAAATAAGTAAAGGACCCTTTTCCCCGCCTCCAGGCATTTAGGGCTAGACATATACTTTATAGACCAATTGGCTCTCGGTGAATGATGTGGTCAGCTTCATGATGGCTGCTATCACTTCCAAGAAATACATGGTACCTTTTTAAAGCTGGGTAAACCTGGGTCCCAAAGTCATTTTTTTTTTTTTACAAAGTCAGTTTTTGCCAGGACCCGAACCCACACCCTTCTGATCCACAAGCGAGCATTTGTACACTAACAGCATGTTGTTTGTAAGATATACTTGACTAACAGTGACCTGTAATTTCTAGGATAGACTTTAGCCGTGGATTATCATGGTCTGCTTATGTAGAAACTAGCAGACCAGGTGCTGTAAATCTCCACTGTAAAGATGCCATTCTGGAAATTCCTGTCCTCAATGTGTGTCCGGATACCCAATTTCTTTAGTCGGTGGTGTGGGGAGAAGGGGTGTGGGGGGGGGGGGGGGGGGAATAAACCCACTCTCCCTTCCCTCTCCAAACAAGTATGTCATAAAAGTAGACAAATTAGTAATTGGCAGCATTTAATTCGAAGTCAGAATGCATCCTCCTGAGAGGCAAGGACAAGCATAATCTATGTAAAAATAAGTCAGATGTGTAAAATCAATGTGCAACAAGACCAGAATCCAGAAATGGATGAACAACCCTGCACACTGAGATAATCAGTCTCATGAAAAAACCCTCTTTAATCACTTCTCCTGCGCACAAATAGTCAGTGGTACTTGTGGTTGTCCCTTTATGGAAAGCAGTAACAAACATTTTCCTCATAGATAATCCATATCATATATTTGATTTGAGTGTTACTGTCTCCTGCCTTTGCTGCAGATGTTTTATGTTACATAATGGTTGTGTTAATAATTTTTTTTTTATTACAGGTGTTTTATAAACTCATCCGAAGGTACAAGTATCTGGAAAAAGCATTTGAGGATGACTTAAAAAAGGTAATTCCTCTATGGGTTCTAGGCCTTATTTTAGGGGAAAAGAATGTATGTGGGTCAAGCATGCCATAAAAGGCAGCTAATCTAGGGTTTTTCCTTAAATGTCAGGGTACATCTGCCTGAGAGGCGAGGAACCAAAAGTCTGCTTATAAATAAACCAGATCTGTGAATAATATGTGCACGCAAAACTCAAGATCTGGGGCAAGACGGAACTCTGGAAGTGGATGAAAAATCAGTACTTTCTAAGTTTTCAGCTGCTGGATGTGAAGAAGAAGAGTATCTCAAAGTAGAAGTAAGCTAAACACATAATTAGTGAATCTAGAGGTGGAGGAAAGATGCTGGAGTTAGGACACTCATTGACAGAACCTATAAATAATATAACTAGAATGTCTGTACACTGTAACCCACACTATCAAAAAAAAAAAAATTAAAACCATTTTAATGTAACTAATATCAGTGACTAAACATTTGCAACCAAATTTGTGTTCGCAGATCCTGATGTTCCAGAAGGGCTTTCAGGCCAGTGAGCGGGAAAAATTGGCCACAATTACTGGTATAATCCTGGCCAATGGGCTATGCACACCTCGCATCCTTCAGAGTCTGTTTGAGGATCACCTTGTTAAGGAAGGTAGGTTTCTATTGTTCATGCGAAGTTTTTTTCTGTTGCCATATAGGATCACCTCGTTAAAGAAGGTAGGTTTCTATTGTTCTTAGGAAGTTTATTTTCTGTTGCCATATAGGATTACCTTGTTAGGGATGGTAGGTTTCTATTGTTCATGGGAAGTTTATTTTCTGTTGCCATAAAGGATCACCTTGTAGGGAAGGTAGGTTTCTATTGTTCATGGGAAGTTTATTTTCTGTTGCCATATAGGATCACCTTGTTAAGGAAGGTAGGTTTCTGTTGTTCATAGGAAGTTTATTTTCTGTTGCCATATAGGATCACTTTAAGAAAAGTGAGTTTCTATTGTTCATGGGAAAGTTTTTTTTCTGTTGCCATATAATATCACCTCGTTAAAGAAGGTAGGTTTCTATTGTTCATGGGAAGTTTATTTTCTGTTGCCATATAGGATCACTTTAAGAAAAGTGAGTTTCTATTGTTCATGGGAAAGTTTTTTTTCTGTTGCCATATAATATCACCTCGTTAAAGAAGGTAGGTTTCTATTGTTCATGGGAAGTTTATTTTCTGTTGCCATATAGGATCACTTTGTTAAGGAAAGTGAGTTTCTATTGTTCATGGGAAATTTATTTTCTGTTGCCATATAGGATCACCTTGTTAAGGAAGGTAGGTTTGTATTTAAATGACTGGTTTTCTAATAAAATTCATAAAAATCTGTCAGTGTTGACAGATGGTGATGTACAGTGTGTGTTTTTCAACAGATGTATTTTTTTTAGTGTTCTGAATGTGATTTATGTGTAATTCAGTGTTCTTTTAAGGACGAAACTGCGGCAGGTCCAGCAAATTGGCAGTGAATTTAAAAGTTCACACACAAAACTGCTCTAGAAACTGTATACGAAATTAGGAAATCCATTAAACGTAAGTACAAACAGGAAGATATAGAATGAGTTTGAAGTTATATTCTTTTACATATACAGTCAAGTCCACTTAGTCCCGGCAATTTTCTCTATTGGGTGTGCTGTCTGGATAAGTAGAAATCCTGATAAGTGGAAGCATTTTCTAAGGTCCCTGCAAATTCTACTTATTCACTCGACTGTATTTGAGGTGTTTCTTTGTTCAACCTTTAAAGGGCATTTGGCTCATTGTGGTATGGTTTACCCCTAGGCAGCAACACATGTGATTTCTTTTCTTATTTATTGTCAGTGCTGTTTGGCATTAGTAGATATGCTAGTCCAGAGTTCTCTGTTTCTTGTATTTTGTCATTTGTGATACAGATGATCTTCCATGCCATGATGCTAAACTGTCCTGCATTTTCTCTCTTGGTCTTCCTTTGCTTCTCTTCTTCTCCACCTTTCATTCTGTCTTTATTTGGTTTTGACAAATCCATATTTCGTTACCCTTTCTGACATGCTTGTTAATGGTCTATTCTTCCCCTCCCTAAATGGGTCCCTGGAACCCACACGGGGCTCTTGAAATGATGTTTTTCATTCATTTCAGGGAGAGCATCAATTTTAAAAAGAACAGTATCTTCCACTGCTGTTTCTTAGACAGTTTTTATATGGGTGCTGTGACTCTGATCATAGGCAGCAGGGAAAGTTGAGCCATTTGTGCTGCATACAAACATACCTCAGGCACCAAACAGAAGATTCCCTGCTGGTTTTATGGAACGTCTTGCAGACACCTTTGTCATTTAGTGTTTTGTTATTGTAACCGTACTGATAATGTACATTGTCTTGTTTTGTTATTGTAAGTTCATTGACATGCATATTGTGTTGCTTTATTATTGTAAGTTCATTGATATGCATATTGTATTGCTTTATTTAAAAAAAAGTAAAGATCCCTTTACACGCCTTTAGGCGCATCGGGCATACGGGAAGAGCACCCATATTTTTACAGACCAATCGGGACTCGGTGGGTAATGTGGTCAGCATTACGCCAGCCGTCATTACTTTCCCAGGACAGCCCATCCTGGTACCCATTTGAGGCTGGGTCGACCTATGACATCCCATACCACGATAAAAATCCATGCAGCCCACGCAGGTTTCGATCGCGGTACGTTGGATTACGAGTCAGACTCGCAACGCCTTAGCCACGGACGCCGCTATTGCTTTATTATTGTAACCTTATTGATAATACATGTTGTTTTGCTTTGTATTTATTGTAGCCTTATTAATGCAGTTGTCTTGCTTTGTTTTTATTGTAGCCTTACTAATGCAGTTGTCTTGCTTTGTTTTTATTGTAGCCTTATTAATGCAGTTGTCTTGCTTTGTTTTTATTATAGCCTTATTAATGCAGTTGTCTTGCTTTGTTTTTATTGTAGCCTTACTAATGCAGTTGTCTTGCTTTGTTGCAGGGATTTCTTTGGATTTTGCTGCAATCATGTTTTCAACCTGGCTGAAGGAGAAGGATATCAATGCCATCTGTGCTGCCCTGAAGAAACAACAAATTGACAGCCGACTTATGGTGAGACATCTTATGAATGATAGGTTTTTGAATGGAGTTTCTACAGATGTATTTAAAGACCAAGCTTGTGGAGGTCATATCTTTGATAACAATATTGCGTTGTTCGTCCACCTTGAGTGATGAAGACCACTTTTCATCCAAAGTAGTAAAGATCAATTATTATGAGGACGAAGATGGCTGATTAGTCCAGTATGAGCCTGAAAAGTTATTGGGCAAAGAGGACATCAGGTGGAAGACGCAGTAAGTGTGGGATTAGCGATCCGATTCTTTCTACTCCTAGTCTGCCTCTGTTTCTCTGCCTGTGCAACCTCCGCTGGCTGGCCGGCTGATGCACCATGCCTGAGTGATGTGCGCCAACCAGAACGGTTCTGTGCAGCAGCATTCCATGTTGCTATGTTGATGCGAGAAGAATTTAGAGAGTTTTAAGAGTGTCCTTATAGTGCTTTTTACTTTCCTAACATGGACCTCTATCCTTGCTAGGGCTCGCAATAAAATACTCTCTTTAGGAGGTATTAGTCTGGCATGCGGGCTAAGTGAAACAATAACACCTTTGTGGAATGTTCATTTATTGACAAAGAGGTGTGCAGTGTCTGTTTTTTTGCAGAGACAATTATTCTCAGGAGGAGAGCATTCAAAAAACAGGCCATTAAAAAATCAACAACAAAAAAGAGATAAAATGCTTGCAGATATTTTGTTTTCTTTCTTGCTGACAGTGGTCAGCGTGTGTAGCTTTAGCATTTTGAATGTGCCTTTTGATCCCAAGATATCTGGTTCAATTCCAGCTGCTGGCGATTTGACAGCAGACCACTTTGTGTTGACTTTGAAAATGAAATCAAGATCTGACCGTTCAGAAAGCAACAGGACATTACTTAATGTAAATTGCTTAGTAAAACTAGGCAAAAACATCCCGAAGTTGGTTCTGCAACCCTTTATAAAGGATAGGAACTAGCTTTTGTTTAAACTAAGAATAATTTGGTTGGATAAAAAAAATTTGTATATACATCAAAGTTGACATCATCTGACTTCAAGACCATATTTATTTGAATCTTCTTTTACTGTCTTGAATTGTGGAAAAGTTTTTGTTAAGACATTTTGCCACAGAAGTATCCAAAATTACCCTTTATGATTTTCAGTCCTGAAATATTATTATCATGCACGCTAAGTAATTGGAAACTCATTGTTTTTACATATGCCCGACAGTGATCATTAGTTTGGAGGTGGTATCAGAGGTTGTGTAGAGCAGAGCTATTCAACTAGGGGGCAAAATTTGGAAAATGAGGATCGTTACGGGCCAGATCATTAATACAGTATAACTCTCAATGATCCGCTGGCCACTTGCTAGGCCTCTGAGGGCCAATTTTGGCCCCCGGGCCGCCAGTTGAATAGCCCTGGTGTAGAGGTTGTGTAATTTAAATGCATGGAGCAACATGCAGTATTCTATGGTATCTGTAACAACCTGCAGTAATTTAATGTACTCATGACTTACAATATCCCTTTGTGTATATATAGCAACAAATCATGCAGTAGCATTGCGGGTATTATGGTCTTTTGTTGTTTATGCAACAACAGTGCAGCAGTGTTTTACATGTAACAAAGAAGCACCTCTTATATTATGTGTTGACTGTTGTTGTCTGTCTGTCTGTCTGTCTGCTCTTGCAGGAAATGTTTCCCGTCAACAAGAGGAACCAGGACACTTTTGATGCCTTTTTCCGGGAGCGAGGCCTTGGGGCCATTGCTGATATGCAGACGGCCCAGATAGCTTCGAAAGCCAAGAAGGAGGCGCAGAGAGGTCTGGCCGACATGATTAAGGATGAAAGCTCTGTGCCTGATGTGAGTCCTGTCTCTCTCTTTTCTTTTTTTGTATCCCCACTTTCTCTGTTTTTTCTCTCTTTTTATCTTTACTATTTTTTTCTTTTCTTTCCACACCGCTTGCCTTCACACTTTTCACCTTTCTCTCATTACACATTTTTCTTTATCATTACTCTTCTCCTGCCACCCTTCTATATTGTGCTCCTGTATTTATTTTCTTTGAATATTTTGTAAACAACAAATTGCTTTTGTGTTTTGATCATTTGTGTTTATAAGATTGTTTCATAGATATAAGTATTTGTTGCAGATGTATCAATGATTAGAAAAAGAGCACACATAAATGTTATAAATAAGCGTTTTCTATGTATAGTTGATTGTTCAATGTACAGCAGTGGTCTATTTTTAAAGTATAATGGATATACAGTACCTGATTCTTTGAGGTGTAGATGATATACATTGTTTTACAGGTGTACATGATTGTGGCATGTACACAACAGCGTTTTGTTTCTAAAGAAATGTAATGAAATGTTCCAGATGTATAAACAGCTGTCACTGTGTTATCATTGTTTCAGATGATTGAGTATGTCACCGATCTCATAGAGAAGCAAGGCATGTCTGAAACTGAAGTGACTATATCTGTGAGTATTTTATGTCAGTTGTATAGTGGTCTGAGTTTGGTTGCTGTTATTTTATGATCTTGCTAACTCCAATACTCATGGCAGGGAGGAAGTTGAATTTGTCAGAAATTATACAACACTGGTGTCTTCTTCTCCTGCCTTCATCTGAAAATGTAAATATGCTGTACCCATTTACAACGCAGCTGTTATTTTTGCACTTTTAGGCAGACACATCTAACTTCTGCAGGCATTTGTTGCCTGAGAGCCTACCCAGTAATTCAACACTGGTATTATAATGCTCATGTATGCTTTGTCTTCTTCAGAAAATTAACAAGAATGAGGATTTTTTTTTTTCCGATGGCTATTTGGTTTTACATACGTTTGTCTGCTTTTTTCTTTAATGATCTTTCCTACTGTTGCTGAATTGGATTAATTTGTGCCTCTCATGTACTCCTTAGTTTTCACATGTAGACATTGCCCTTGATTTCCATTTACATCTTCACTGTCTGGGCAGTAAGATTCACTTCAGCACTTGTGAAAGTTATGACTATGTGTCAGAGATTCTTGCCGGAAACATCTTAATGACATCTTCAGAAACATTGACCTCAGTTACAGTGACTGTCTTATTAAATAGAATCTTGGAAAGCCATCTCAGAGCCACATTGACCACTTCTACGTCTATGCTTGATGTCATGATTGAATATGCCCCACTCGATTTTATGACCCTCCACCTATTTGTGAAACCCCATCCAGATATCTCACTTTGCTGCATTAATCTGTTGGCAACTGTCTGTATCCATCGCAGGTTCTAGACATTGGAAATTTTTGCTAAGCACCCCAAAAAAAATAGGGGGGAGGGTATAGTTTGTTTTATATGGGAGCTGCATATTCAGAAAATGGTGAGTGGCCTGTTTAAACTGTTACCACACAGCTGGGGATATCTTATTCATTATTGCTTATGCAGCTGCTGATTTGTTATAACTATTGCTTCCATAAATGATGACCTGCAATTCTAGAGAAAAACTGTTTGTGTTGACACTTTTGGTTTTGCTATTTTTGTCGTTATTGTTGCTGGAACCGAAATCAGAACAATTGCGGGGTAACCTGTTTGCCATAATGTTGGAACTGTGACTAACTAACAAATATTAATTGTGCCACAGTGCTAGACAGACAGTATAACAAATAACATAGCTGACTTGCTACATCAGTGGTTGCCCAGAACCTGAGCACAGTTGTTGACTTGTATACTTCTGCTGCATCTGCAGATCTGGAACACCATCATGGCAGCTGTGGAGTGGAACAAGAAAGAGGACCTAGTTGCAGAGCAAGCTCTGAAACATCTCAAGCAGTACTGTCCCTTGTTGAAAGCCTCTACTCGTTCTGGCAAGTCCGAGTTAGCCCTCATGCTTAAGGTGCAGGAGTTTTGTTATGAGAACATGAACTTCCTTAAGTCCTTCCAGAAGATCATCATGCTTTTGTATAAGAGTAAGTTTCCTGTTTCTGATTGTTGAATGAATGAATGAAGTTCAAACCCTTCAGGACCACACATTGAGCGATAAACACCTGGTGACACAAAGTGCCACCATTCGGGTTAGAATGACATAGGCGCAAGTTCCAGAAACCCCCTTTAAACCGTTTCATTATATTAAGGCTCTCGACAACAGCCAGAGTGGGACTTCAGAATATAGCAAAAAATTGCTTTCTATGTTGGGATGGTTATTTTTTTTCTGACTGTTGCTTTTGAGTTCCTTTTATGGAATTAAGCTTCCTTTGTTATTCTTATATTGTCAGAAATTTATATCCAGTAATCACAGAAGTTGCTGGGGCTCTTACACTACAAAACATGAGATTGGGGCCTCACTGCATAATATTCTCAAAGACTGCAGTGATTGCAGCCAGTTTTCATTGGGAGATGGCACACACATCTTTGTGTGTCTTTCCCAATAAATGACTCACCATTGTCTGTTTAATCAAGAGAGTATAGGACTAGCACAGTCACATGAAAATCTTTAAACTTCTATCTTTTTTAATCTTTATCCTTATGTGCGATGCTGACAAGATGGCTTGTCATCTCACATGATCACTAGAATCGTGGATCAGGCCTGTGTTCATGCCATTTGGTGGTTGTGCTTCAACTTGTGCCATTTTATTATCTCAGAATCTAAACATATGTTACTTAGCATTATATTGTTCTTCTCCCCTTTATCCCCCCCCCCCCCTCCCTCCCCCCAATAGAGCATAGATCCTCAACTAGCTTATGCCAGATCATCATGTCCCTTTGCCATCGTGTCAGCTTGCCCCATGTCCTCTCTATCTATTTAACTGCACTTTTGTTGCCTTCTCCATCATTTTTTTGTTTTGCATTGTATTGTTAGTTTGTAGTTTACTAGGGCACATGATAAAGAAGACAAAACTGAATCTCGCTGCGTGATACTTTTCTCCCTCACAGCCGAGGTGATCAGCGAGGACGTTATACTCAAGTGGTTCAAGGACAGCCACAGTGCCAAGGGCAAGAGTGTCTTTCTGGAGCAGATGAAGAAGTTTGTTGAGTGGTTGCAAAGTGCTGAAGAAGGTAAGTACTCATAGAAGTTCTCCGTTAGCACAGTAGTTGTGTACATCATCCTTCACCCGACCCCACAACATATTGGTTGCCTTGCTCTCGGCACACCAGTTATCAATACTGTTTTATCTCTGGGGGGAAAAAAAATCACGGCAACACCCGTGTGTCTTGTCTCTCTCACAGCCGACAGATTGTCCACATCTCCCACAGCACAGCATTTGCCTGTATGTCTCTCCCATGGCAGACAAGTTGTCCACATCTCCCTAAACACAGCATTTTTCTACATGTCTCTCCAGCACACCAGTTGTCCATATGTCTCCCACAACACACCATTTATTTACATCTCCCACAACACATTTGTCTACATGTTTCTCCCACAACACAATATGTGTCTGCGTGTCTCTCCCAAAACCTCACATTTGTCTACATATCTCTCCCACATTTGTCTACATTTCTCTCCCACACCTTTACATTTGTCTACATGTCTCTCCCGCAACACATTTGTCTATATATCTGCCATGTAATAATGTGAAATAAACCCTATAGGAAGCAGACCAAAGAGGTTTTGGATCACAAATAGACGTGTTTTATATCTATTCTGGAAGCATTTGAATATCCCCAAAAAAAGAAGAGCTATGTGGATCGGAGGCAGCCTTCTTCTAACAAATATGTTCTTAGGATTACGGTCTTGGCTTGTAGACCACTCTAGGTTTGTCACTGAATATCTTACGAGTGTCAGGATCAGAGTGGAGTATTAAGGTGATGAAACAGCCAAATTATTTGGGTGATATGTTAAGATTAGTTTAGGCCAATCAGGAGCAGATTTAGATTTAGTGGGCAGTGCCTCTCTCTGGGTGATGGATTGTACTTTTTCAGAGCTTATAAAAGAATTTGTTTAGGATAAAGGTGAAAACGGATAATAATCCAGAAACTTGCCTGCCTTACTTAAGAAATAAAAGTCTTAGAACAGCAGTTGAGAGAATGGCATAGAATTTTTGCATGAGAATTGGTGTGAGGTCATATATAAGAAAGCTATGGGACTCTGTAGGTTTATAAATCAAGTGGTTAAGACAGGAAAATCAATATTAACCTTGCTGTTCAAGAAATTCTCAGAAGTGGTAGAAATCTAGGTGAATTGAACAGCGGGATTAAAGATGTTGATGAAATTAATGAATTGGTCGAGTTCACCTCTGGACATTTTGATAATACAAATGCCATCATCTGAATACCTTCTTATACACTTCAAGGCAACTTCCCTATGTATGAGTTCTAGAAAAATCCATAAAAAGACATGCATAAGTAGGGCCAGTTTTGGTACCCATCGTGACACCACTGATGTGGTCAGTATGCTTGCCGTTAAACTAAAAAAAATAATAAGTACTAATTCAGCAAAATGTACAAGACGGCAGTCAAGATGTTGGGGTTCGCCCTCTGATCCAAAATAGACATGGAGTGCCTGCACATCAAAGGCATGACGGATAGATGTATAAAGAGAGCATAACATCTAGCAGGAAAATGTGGTATGTTATGCCAGGGATATTCTTGTGGTCAACTTGACTGCAGTCACACCCTATTTACAGCATTACTTTAGTTGCCCACAGCACCCTTGACCTCTACTTGCCTTGCCAGATCAGTTGCCTGCATCATCTAATCCTTCCTAGAGCCTCACATCATGGAGGAGATTCAGGGCCAAACAATGTAGTTAGCCCAAGAGACAACCTCGATTGTGCTGCACCCACCTCCCATTGTTGAGATGGCACAGATATTACTATTTTTCGGTACAAGTATACTCAATCCCCCCTATGTCAAAGGTCAGGTTCAGTCTATTATTTAATGTAACATGGGAAACAAAAACTCTGCGGAAATCCCTCATCTCATCACTAGTCACTACACATAATGTAAACCTGAACAAAACAACACACTCTGCGCCACATAATGTACGGGAATCCTCATCCCATCTTATCACTGCCTAAAATCTCTGCCAATTTTGGAACACCCCTGAGATATATTAGACTGTCCCGTGACCTTTGACTTGTGGGGGATTAAATAGACAAGAACCTATTTTTTTCCCTTGCCTAAACTCAGATGCTCATTGTATTGTGTGGCGAATGTTTCACCCTCCACCTTTCATGTCAGTCAGTTTATATGATTTGATTTTGTCCTCAGAATCTGATGAAGATGAGAAGGGAGACAACTGACATGAGAATCAATCCATCCACATTGCCACAGCTCACACACATACACACACACTGAAGTGAGGAATAACACCTCATGTCTGCACACACAAGCAGATTGCAAGTGTTGGCCTTGACATGAATCAAGGCTACAGTTTCCAGCAACAAATTCTGTTTGAACCATCAGGTTTTTTTCCTTCGTTTTTTTTTTCTTCTTATATTTGGCCATGATTTCAGTGAGAGTGAGTACTGTTTTTCCTCCCTTCTGTTCTGGCGTGAAATTGGTGGAACACTTGGATGCCAAAAAACTGTGGTGTGTGAAAACATACAAGCTGCATGTTTCTGATATCATTCCGGTTCATCACAGTGTGAGTGTTTGTGTGCTTGCATATGTGTCATCTAACAGATTATTAACATCAGGAGGCAGCAGACAAGGTCCATTCTTTCTTATGTTTTCCTCTCCCAGATTTATAAGGGTGTCTACTCCACCATCATTACTGAGTTTTGTAATTAAAAATTTTCATTTGTCTGGCCTTGTATTCCTTCTTTATTAAATGAGTACTTTGTTGCTTTCCTAACATGTGCCTTATTCCAGTGATTACTGTTAGTAATGTTAATTTGTTGTTAGCTTACTGAGTCGTTACTGTTGATTCTATCAGTTCTCAGAATTGTTGTGCTCATGAAAGTTACTGTTGATTTTATCAGTTCTCAGAATTGATGTTGTATTGTTCATGAAAGTACAGTAAAGGACCCCTTCCATGCCAGTGGGGCCATCATTTTAATCATGCTACATTCATATTTGTATAGATCAGTCAGCACTCGTGATCACCAACTGGAAAGAGGAGGTCAGAGTTCTGTGGACATGGGATATCTGTAGCAGTGAACCCCAAGTGTTTAAAATGCTGAAGAAGAGAAGAGGAGGAATCAGCACTTGGTGGTTGATGTGGTGAACCTTATGAACATTTCCTCATAGCCTTGGTCCGCATCTCAGTTTTAGAAACAGGTCATAAGTGTGGGTTCAAACTGAAGAGACAGACAGCCAGAGTGCATAACTCAGCCGCCAGGTTGTTCATAACAGTTTATGTACTGGGGTGGAGAGAAAGGAGGCACACATTACACACACACACATGAAGTGTGAGCATTATTCTACTATTCTGTGCCTGCACGCGTTCACACACACATAAAGTTTAAGCGTTCATACATATCTACACAATGAGCAATTACACATATCTATACAGTACACACATGTATGAAGTGTGAGCATTCATGCATCTACACACACAGGTCAAAGAGGCACACACAGCTCCCTCTAAGCCAGGGCTATTCAACTAACTACTCAAGGACCAAAATTTTGAAAATGGGGATCGTCACTTGTCGGAAACCACAGCCCAAGTAAATAAAGCTTATTTTAATTCAATACAGCTGACAGTCCACTTGTTAGGCCTTCGAGGGCCAGATTTGGCCCCCCGAGCCGCCAGTTAAATAGCCCTGCTCTAAGCTGGGCTAACACTTGAGGTTTGTTGAATGCCTGTGGCTAGGATCATTAACAACTGCAGATCTGAAACCCAAATCCACTTCAGTTTAGCTCCTTGGAACTGCACTCATGTCTCACAGTGTGGATCCTGAAACAACTGTAGGAAAAACTTTAACAATTAATGATTCATGTCTTCTTGTGTCCCACATTGTTTCCCTGTGGTTTTCAAGCCAGTGGAAGGCAGCGGTGACTGCTTCCACTTACTTGTGGTATCATATGCCAGGCTTTGCTGTGCTAAGCGACATCCATTCTCTTTTGCAATGATGAAACCCCGCGAACTCCTGCCACTCAACACGGAGCCATGGGCAGGAAGTATTGTGAATCTGTTGGACTTATGATTCTGCAAAGCCCGCTGGCCAGTCCTTGCACTCAATGAACATTTTTCCACAGTGGTAAAAGTATGACTATACGTGTCTTGGTTTAATTAATTATGAAGCTTTTACAATATTTCGCGGTCCTCCTGTGAAGAGTGTGCAAATCCCCGGGGCGCCGCAACGTACAGTTTGGGAATCACTGTTTTGGGAGTCTGATTGTTACTTGGCCCCTTCTCTCTCAGTGCAGTATTATCAAGTCTGCACACGTCTAATTTGTCATGTTGCCTCACCCAAGACCTTCCTTCTTTCATTCTGTAGCCCTTAAGTCTACCTAGGGCTTCATGCAGGAGGTGTTTCTTTTTTGCGGCTACTTTGCTTGCAGCACTATCCGTTGTAATCGGTATTGCATTCATGCTACCTGAGTATCTCTTGTCCCTCCCAGAATTACCCTCATGGCTCATTCTGTATGCGTTCAAGCTTTATCACCGAGAGCATCACATGCTGAAACATTTTTGCTATAATCTTTGAGTGGATTGAGTCCTTTTTGGCATTTCACTGCAGCTGCCCCTCACATGATCTCTAAAGGAAAGGCTTTTGGAGAAAAGTTAAGCCAGGTATCTCATTTTGCTTTCTTTTTTGTTTCTATCATCATTTTAATGATATTGCATTAAAAAAAATATTGCGTACATAGCAACAGAACAATCATAAATAGATAAATCTCATTTGAAGTTATCCATTATGTGAATGTTCACACCCTTGATCTGGCCCTGTTTGGGAGGGGTGTTCTTTGCTGCTAATCGTCGTCCTCATGTTAAACTTTCGCTGTCTCACACAGCTGTCACTAAACACCTTCTTCACTCACTGAGACCGTAAAAAAAAAGGTCACAGGTCTGTTATTTTACACAATATACATCTCGAACCAAAAATATTTCCTTTGGTATGCTCTTATTTAATGTGAGAATTCCAATCACGGGTGATGTTTCAGCTTTCCTTGACCTACAGAGGCAAATAAACCCGCCCTATGTGACGTAAATTGCTTCATCGAGCGACAGTAGTACGGAGAGCTGACCGATCAGTGCAATGGCAAACTACTAGACGTAAAAATGTCCTAGGAAAAATCACAACAGACAAAACAAACATGCTAAGGTTGGTTCTGCAATGTCCGGTACAGCAGGTACTAAGTTTGCTCCTGGGCCAGAATGTTAAACATAGAGACTGTCGCGGGCCAGTGGCCTGAGCCCACAATACAATTCAATGCGAAGATTTAATACTCAAAAACTATTACGCCTAAGACTTAACCTATATAAATAAAGCCTTTATAATGTAAAGTGTACTACAATCTTTTGTAATGATTAATTAAACTCACTCTTAATTATTCTTCCTCTTCGTATCACCGTCTGTAAACTCCGGCGGAAAGTTGTGGTTGTTCGTCCACTTCTGGACTCTAGTCATGTTCCAGAAACTGAGTGTTGCCTAAACATCTGTTTTAAATGTCTGACTCATTTACATGCAGACTTTTGCTTGGCTCTCAGGCAGATATACTCTGACTTCGAAGGAAGCTCCTATTTAATCGACTCTTTGCGACATTCTTTCGGAAAGGCAGTGGGTCTATTCTGGTTTCCCTGGAATCCACACGGGGATCACTTTTATTTGAAATACACGTATTTCCAACTTGTCTTTGGGATCATAAATAAACGTTACCATTGTCAATTCCATTACATTGTCATTATAATAATAACTGTCCACAGTTGGTTTCATATTCTGCAGAAGAAACCGAAAGGTAAAACGATGCAAAATTTAAATAATAGGAAATGCTGCATTTTGGTTTTTGAGGTAATTTTATAAAATTTGCTGGTGTGAAATAGCAATCTAGCCGCCTATCATTGCCCAGTGAGCTCCGACTGTTTGTCTTGATGACATTCATGTGTCAAAAACAATATTCACAAGTCAGCATTGAGCCATATATGGTGATGATGAATATGGCAACTTTTCTAGCCCTAGGAAACTGCTCCTGTTGAATCCTTTTATACAAAAACTTGACGGCACCACTTTCTTGAAATATCTTTATTCAATACCCTGAAACTTTGCATATCCACAAGTTTTAACTGCAGAAAACCTTCATCAACAAATAACAGCTTTTTCGATTGGTTAAGGTTAGGAGTCCAATGTTAAAGAAAATATACCACAGGCAAACTGGTATCGAATTAGGCTGAGTTGGTGATATAAATAAATATTTCTGTATCCAGTCATTGTTGAATGCACGATTTTCACATTTCCACTTTGCTTTCTTACTAGAGCTAGCTATAGCATCAAGTATTTAACTAAATTATTCAGAGTAGATAATTTAAAACACTGTTACTGATTCACTTTGTTACTGTACAATCGCTTCCGGCAATCTACGTCTGACTGTGACCTGTATGTGACTGGACATCACTAGCAGGTTTTCTGAGGTGTCAATCAATTCTCTTTATGCCTAGTGGCACATGAGGCTTCAGAGAGGGCTTTCCATGCTTTCCTGTCCTGTGCAATCTTCTGTGCACTTTTCCATGTCAGAGATGGCGCATTCAGGTCACACTCCATCGTTCGTCTCCATGTTGTTTTTGTGAGCCCCTTCTTTCTCTTTCCCTCTGGTGTCCATGTGAGAGTTGTTTTGGCAGGTATATCAGGATTCATTCTCATAACGTGGCCAAGCCATTTCCATCTTCTCTTGGTAATCATACTGTCTAAAGTTTCTTGGTTTGTGACTTGAAGTAGTTTAGTGTTTGAGATTGTATATGGTCAGAAAATTTTGATAATTCTACGTAGACATGTGTGGTGGAAGGTAGACAGCTTGTGTGCATCCTTTTTGGTCATTCTCCAGGATTCCGCTCCATAAAGAAGAATGGTAAAATAATGCTCTTGTAGAGTTGAAGTTTCGTTCCTCTGCAGTAACTTGGATTTCCAGATTTGCCTCATCCTTCCAAAATCAGCTCTAGCTTTGTTCAGTAGGGACACCCAAGATATGTGAAATGTTAGACATTTTCAAGTGTTTGGTTATTTATGGTCACTGGTAGTTGGTTTGGACTGTTTGTCATGATCTTAGTTTTCCTTGTATTTATTCTCAGTCTCACCATTTCTTCTGTGCTGTGTAGTCTGTTACTTTTTTCCTGTATATGTTCACGGTTATGTGATAGGAG